CCATTGTCAGACCCTATGCTGGTGCAGTGGGTCCTGGGTTCCTCCTGGTGCACGACAATGCCCGGCCTCATGTGGCGAGAGTATGCAGGCAGTTCCTGGAAGATGAAGGAATCGATACCATTGACTGGCCCCCATGCTCGCCTGACCTAAATCCAATGGAACACCTCTGGGACATTATGTTTCAGTCCATCCGACGCCATCAGGTTGCACCTGAGACTGTCCAGGAGCTCAGTGATGCCCTGGTCCAGATCTGGGAGGAGATTCTCCAGGACACCATCCGTCGGCTCATTAGAAGCAGCCCTAACATTGTCAGGCATGCATACAAGCACTTGGGGGCCATACAAACTACTGAGTACGATTTTGAGTTGCTGCAATGAATTTTCAACAAAAAGGATTAGCCTGCTGCATCATTTTTTCACTTAGATTTTCGGGGTGTCTTTGAATTCAGCCCTCTGTAGGTTGATAATTTTCATTTCCATCAAACGATGTGGCATCTTTTTGTTCCTAACACATTACCCAGTCCATTTCAGTATAGATATCTAGCATGACTTTTTTTCCCATTGAGATCTGATGTGTTTCCAAAGTGTTCCTTTAATTTTTCTGAGCAGTGTATATCCATTAACAAAAACAATACAAGGGCTTTTAACAACTACAAGCAGGGTATGCTAGGACATTTGCCCCACCGGTGCTACAGAATTTTTTATTACCTCAGTGGAAAAATCCCTTCTTATCAACTGACCAGAGGTGTTGTGAAGTTCTGATGGTAACCCCCAATGTACTGCAATTTCAAAAGCTGACTGACAAACCAGAAAATCCTGAGTTGTGTCAGCTATTTCTTGTTGCTTCGTAACGCACAAAGTGTTGATATATCATTTAAAGTTTTACTGTTTCTCATCTGTAAAGCACAAAATATTAATTTGTAAAATGTAACACGGTTTCTTTCAGTATAAACAAAGTTGACCTGATTAAAAAAATATTATTTTCACACCGTTATGTTGTAATTTTAACTTTATTGTATTGGTTTTTATATTACAGTTTGTATGTGTTTAAACTACAGTAATTTAACTGTACCAAAAAAAAAATTTTTTAAACATATTTTTACTGAAAAATTAACAGTTGTTTTTTGTATTTTACAAAATATTAATGTCAAATATACGCTGCTCTATTGTTTTTCCTTTTACAGTTTTTTTATGTCGTTATTTTACAGAATTCTGTTAATTTCACAGACATTTTTTACCACCCTGTTTCAGAGTGATTATCACTGGATATCACTGTCTCCTTGCTGTGCTTCCCACAGCTCGTCAACATTGTTCACTTCCTCCGGCCTTTGGGCTGCAGTTTGGAGGACACAGACTTGCGGATCTCCCACCTGCTCACCAAAGGATGGTAACCTCGATAACACATCCGCATTCACATGCAACCTACCCGCCCTCGATAACACATCCGCATTCACATGCAACCTACCCGCCCTCGATAACACATCCGCATTCACATGCAACCTACCCGCCCTGTGTACAATTTTATAGTGGAAACTGGCCAACTGTTCTGTCCACCGAGCTAGTTGACCCTCCAGGCCCTGGAAACTATTCAGCCATACTTAGGAACTCCTTTTTCGTTGTAGCATACCTCCGCTCTGCCTTAGTTAGTGCCCGGCTTGCATAAGCTACCACTCTCTCACCTCCCTCAGTTTCCTGAGAAAGCACCGCGCCTATGCTCACATCACTGGCATCTGTGTCCAACACAAACTGTTTACCCAGATCTGGGTAAGCTAGCACTGGGGATGTAATTAAGTATACTTTTAGGGTTAAAAAGGCTTTATCACAGTCAGGACTCCACTTAAATCTCCGCCCTTTCTCTGTCAACTGGTGGAGCGGCCGTGCAATCTCCGCAAAGCCTTTAATAAATCTCCTATAGATCCTTTGCACGTGACGTCACGCTCTACTCGCGCGAATTCTGAACGCCATGACGGACGGCGGAAGAGCTATTCTGTAGACGGACGGCAAGCCAAATGGGTACGTGTTTGAGTTCGTTCTAGTAGTAAAATGGTTATTTCGTGTTGTGCCGTGGGCTGTGCTAATAGACAGGGTAAAGCCAATATATCTTTTTTATCGAATACCATTTGATGGGGAGAGAAGGCAGCGATGGGTTGCTGCTATCAGCCGAAAGGACTGGCAGCCCTCCAAGTACTCCAGGATTTGCAGCGAGCATTTTTTACAAGGTAAGGTTCATGTATTTCCCAGTTACGTTTACTTAATTTGTGTAATACCACACCGTCATCCTTGTCCAGCTGGAGACCCAGTCAAATTGTCATTTGTAACATGAGTAACCTAAGTTACCTATGAAATGAGCAAGTACCAGCTAGCGTGATAGGGCTGTGTAGTCTAACGTTACCCATTCACAAAGGTAGCTAACGTTAGCTTAATGTCAGGAATAGCAGATTTTGGTGCCACTTAAATGTCTATGCTTCTCTCTGATGGTCATAAATGTACGTTAGAGGCAATNTTTGGTGCCTCTCGTACCAGGCTCGGCCTTGTCTCAGGCCACCTGGAATTTAGGCCCTGTGATATGTGCATGTGTGATCCTACACAGGGAAGAAAAAAGGAGAATGGCAGTGCATCTTATCAGTCACTCAGACAGTGTAGTGAAAGCCACAAGCCAATGTTACCTTAATTTGTCATACTTAAAGGTTCTTTGTCATTGTAGCATTGGTTTACACACACTAGTGATCTTTCAGATAAGGTATTACTTTTCATCTGAGGCTGCACTCACCACTAGAAGCTGAATTGGGCTGGACACAATAAAAGACTGATGGAGGCAACTACCATAAAATGACACCAGCTGTACTTTTTGGTTACAGTTGATACCTTGCTACAATGTGTTTTTGCTGCTTTTACTAGAATCCCATCTACAATTGTGTAGAATAGTCTTTGTTGTATCTATTAATCTGGAATGTATTCACCTAAAAATTAGGTTACTTGTTGTTTTTTGTGTTTTTTGCATACCCAGATATGCATTACAATATCATTCTTGAGTGAGATTAATATACATTCATGGGGAAGAAATAAAGGCTTAATTTTCACTACTGCGGATCGATATGGTGCAGTCAATGCCAAAGAACGACAAGGAAAAAAAATCACACCAACATACCCCAAAGGTACAGAGCCCCGGAAGGGACATGGTGAGGAAAAAAAAAGAAACATTTGCAAGATCCTGCAAAACCTTTGTGAGATCTCGCAATACATTAATAACTGTGCTGTGTCCATTTGAAATAAAAAGATGCAAAGTGTTACAGACATGTCCTGTTAAGTGTGCTTTACGCATTAAACTATGGGAGACAATGCATACTACCATGTGTTCATGCCATGTGTGTTTTAATAGAGCCTTTGCACGTGACATCATGCTCTACACGCGAATTCTGTGAACGCCATGACGGACGGCGGAAGAGCTATTCTGTAGACGGACGGCAAGCCAAATGAGTACGTGTTTGAGTTCGTTCTAGTAGTAAAATGGTTATTTCGTGTTGTGCCGTGGGCTGTGCTAATAGACAGGGTAAAGCCAATATATCTTTTTATCGAATACCATTTGATGGGGAGAGAAGGCAGCGATGG